ACAGGAGGCCTCCACTGGGCCCACTAGGATCATCGATGTAGTGCCGTCTGCCCCTCACCTGACCTCCACTGCACCTCCTCTGGAAGCTCAGGGCCACCGCAGGTGCACACTAACAGGAAATGGTTACCGTGCAGCCTGGTGGTGCGGGGAAGGAAGGTGTCCCGAGCTGCACAGAGCTGGGGTCCAGGAGGGGTTCTGTCCCACGTCCTGCACAGCTCAGAACCAGCCTCCCCCAAAGCAAGTGTACCCCAGTGCATGGCCGATTTGCAAATGTGACTCACTTGCTCCTTGGGCTTGTGAAATGACAGTCTCTCCAGGAGGGTGGAAATAGACAGGATGGCACAAAACCTGTGACACCAAGTCTCCCCAGTCCCCTTCTTCAGAGGAGCTGTCACGCTGTCCGGGCAGGGGGATGTGAACAATGCCAGACACACCCATTCCCTGTTGCATCAGTGCAGGGATGTTCAGGCGAGTAGCTGAGGACCGCCAAGCAGAAGATGACAGGAGAGGTGAGAGGACTGAGGAGGGAATGAAAAACCCCAGAACAGCCGGGCTGCCCTGCACACGGCTGGAGTGACTCCGAGAATACCCCCAGCACTCCCTCCGGGAGAGTTATCCTGCCACATGGGAATCTCTGGACATCACAAGGCAGGCTGGTGCACCATGGGGCTGGCGGGGCTTTGCTCCAGAGCTGCTCTGGGCTCCAGTTGCCCCCCATATATGAGCCCCGTAAGAGCACTAAGTACTAAGGCCCGAAGCCAGCCTGTGTGGGTGCCTGCACCACTCCCCCTCCCTGCAGCCTTTGGGGTACAGGGTACAGCTGTGGCCCTGAGGGAGGACTCTGGCTGAGGTTAGGGTTAGCCTGTCCTGACACTGCTCCTGCTCGGACCTCAGGACAGGGCCGTGGGCTTCTTCTGCAGCAGGTGATCCAGTCAGCTCTGGCCATGGCAGACTCTCAAGACCGGCGTCTAGCTTCTCTGGGTACTGTCTGGAGAATATGCACGTGTCTGCAGGGCCTCGCACCACACCTGTGTCACTGTGTCCCTGTCTGGAGTGCAGGCCATGGGTGGGACCCTCTCTGGAGCACATCCGTCCTCGGACAGCCACATCTGGCCCACAGGCCCTGGTGGGCCCAGCAGTGTTTGTCTGGAGGCAGCTGCTGGCTCCCTCTGATGTGACTCTAAACTTCTCCCTCTCAGCAATCTGGGCAGCTGCTCCTGGGGAGACCACACAGGACTCACTCTCCTGGGCACAGAGCTCTGCTGAGGACCTCTCTCCACCAGCTCACTCACCTCACCTTCACTCACCCCTTAGCTCTCCTGAAAGCTCCCTGTGCCCTCCACATCAGGTGCTGGGCTTCCAAGGCTTCCCTACTTCTCTACTCATGTGTGAGGACTTGGATAACTGTGTTTGTACATCTTTGAATGCCTAGATTCTTCAAATGAGGACTTGTGGACCATCCGACTTTGATTCTCTTACCAATTCCTCTTCCCACGGCCACAACATCATCCCCTTGTACCCCACGTGACAGGGCCTCATGTGTCTACATGCAAATGACTGCTGAGGACCTGTACAGGGAGAGAAGCCACCAAAACAGCCAGATCTCTAAGAGAAGACCAGATCCCTGGCACATGGGGACGAGGAACCAGCTACCCAAGGTGGTACCCAGAGCCCAGCATGCGGTGACATTTTTTCTGGTCCATCTTAACACTTAGTGACATTTTAATAAGTTGTTTCCAGCACTTTGGGAAAAGTTTATGGCTATAAATCAGATAAAGTGCAGTTAAAGTTGTAGTCATTTTAGTGGGGTAGGGTAGATCTCAGGTAAAGTGGGAGACAGGTAGGCAGATCACAAAGTTGAGCTTCGAGTTACACCTGCCAGGAAGAGCATGTGTCCACCTTCACAGTCCCAGCATCCATGAGAAGCATGGGCTTCTCTAGAGAAACAGAGAGCTCACCTGCAAAGGGGGCAAAGGTCGAGGTTGGGGAGAACCATGAGCTCCCATCTGTTGCACAAGAGTCCAGGGCACAAGCTGAAGGTGCAGCCCCATCCCAGGATGGTGAGAGGTCTAGTGCAGTGACAGGTGTGACCTGAATTAAGTGGATAGAACCGAAGACTCTGAGAGAAGAAAGGGCCAAGAGGTCTAGGAGATCCCTTCCCTCAGCCTCCCCTAGACAGCCTTGGGTAATGCCCATCTCCACCTGGCTCTTCCTCCCCCCAAACCCAAGTCTGTCCTTACCTGGTACCTTACAATAGTAAACTGGCTTCCAAAAATTGCACACAACTACAAGTGGCTTTTCAAAAACAACTTGCCAGATTAAGATAGCTTTTTCTCCTGGCTAACAGAGTTTCACATCCACTACTGCTAGAAATTTATCTGCCCAATCCTGACGTGAATAAAAGCCCAGGGTATTATAATTGCGAAGCTCTAGAACAGATTCAAAAATTGAATGTGAGGACCGGGGGTTTAGCTCAGTGGTGCTGCCGCCTGCCTCATAAGCGCAAGGTCCTGAGTTCGATCCCCGGTACCAAAAACCAAAAAATTTGAATGTGTCTACACTTTAAAAACCAGTATGTGCAAACACAGTACCCTGCTCATATCACCAGATCTTCAAACTAACAAAGCATGTGCCCAAAGAAGCATGCCGCTTCTATGAGGAAAAACTTCTGAAATATTTGCTACAGCAACTTAGCCTTCAAGGATCAGTGCTTGCCCTAAACTTGGCTTCTCAGGCCAAAGTGCAGATGGATTGCTGGTATTTTCAAAGTCAGAGTGATAAATTGTGTCTCCTGGATGCTATGGCTGGGAAGGAATGATAGCACTGCATAAGCAGCCTTTGTTTCTCTGAGGGAGCTCTCCTGGGACCATGATCTGGGGTTGATGGCTTCCACTTGAATCTAAACTTGAATCTCGCCTTCATGGCTCCTGAAGTCTGTGACTCTGAAAGGAGGGATTCCTGGCCCTGTGTGTGAAGGACACAGCAATATGTGAAGGGGTGGATGCAGGGCTGAAGCAGGCTCAGCCTCCCACACATGTCACCCAAAGCCAGGTCTTCCTAACCCAAGCTCAAAAACTCATTTTCTTACTGTTGTGGGTTGAATTGTATCCCTCCCCCATGAGTCAGGTTGGATTCCTATCCCTGGAACCCGAGAATGTGACCTTATTCAGAGATTGGGTCATTACAGGGTCACTGAGGTAAAATGAGCCTATTAGGGTGGTCCCTGGTCTACACATGTAAAGCAAAACGGTCCACCTTTCAGCTACGTAAAACTGCTGCTTCTAGGCTTCATTCTGTCCCAGCACGTGTTTTAGTTTGTTAGGGTTTATATCTAGATGTCCCCCAAAGCCCCATGTGCTCATAGGTTGGACTTTTGGGAGGTGATTGGACAGGGGGCATGATGCTCACTTCACTGATGAGTTTATAGCTCCATGTGATCTTCGAGGTGAAGCCTGGTCAGGGAGGTGGTCACTGGGGGTTCAGCCCGGCAGGATCTACCTCCCGCCTCTTCCGTCACTGTCTGCTTCCTGCTGCCATGGAATGAGCTGTTTCTCCTCTGCCATTTTGCCCTGCTTTGGAGCCAGCTGACTATGGACTGAATCTTCTACCAACTATGAGCCAAAACAAAACCTTCCTCCTTTAAGATGTGAGTCTCGGTGACAAGAATGTAACTAAGACGTGTGTTCACTTTCATTCTGTTTATAATGAAGATGTCACTGGCTGGAAGGCTGGATGCAGGTCGTAGGACAGGTGACCACACTGAACTGACCCTGGGACCAAGATTACACACAGATAACGCACTTCCATTCCACATCCTGGGGACTGGCTCCTTGGGAACAGCACTGAATTCTTTTTCCACTTTGGTACAACTGGGACTGAAGTTGTTCTAATTTGATTTTTGGCAGAAATCAATATGAGCTTGAAATTGCTCACATTTGAAAATACCAGAAATTGTTATTTTTCTTAAAAATCTCAGTTTTGTTTCAAGTGAGACTTCAAAAAGAGTGCTTCTAGGGTCAGTGGATCTGGAGGAAGATGTGAAATTCAACAATCACTCCAGAATAGCACAGTTCATTCTTTCAGCCTGGTGTGGGGCTGGCTGGGCTCTGCCCTTGAGAGAATGAACCCAAACCCATGTTTCCAGAGCCATCTCAGACTCCAACTTCTGAGTGGGCACCATGTCCTCCCTCCTGATAGGGAGGCCACAGGACTGAGTGCTCCCCTCCGTGACTGCATGTTAAGCAGATGCACTGGTGGAAATTGAGGGTTATTTTTTAGAACCTGACCCAGAGTTCATTTGTGAAATTCCCCTAATTCATTCTTGTGAGGGGAATGCCTTCCGCTGGGTATGGACCTGGCTGTACTCACTGCTGCCATGAGCCATGTTCATACTCTAGAAGGAAGTCAGCTGTCCAGGATGTCCTTGAGTGGCTAAATATAAATCACATGGATAGGGCACTATTTTCAAAATTAAAAATAAAAATGAAGGAAATCCACAACTCCCCTGAGGTAGCAATCTTGAGGAAATTGATGTGAAGCAAAAGTTACATTTACATAAATTATAACTCTGGATAGCTTTCATCAGCTCGGAGAAGGATAATAGCTTGTACACTAAAGGATTTCTTTTTTTTTCTCGCGTACACATGTAGTTTTATTGTAACAAAGCAACTTGTACACTTTGAACGTTTAAAAGTGCGCATCACCTTTTCCTTTCCAGTGAAAACAAAAAAGAATTTAAAAATAAACCAACAAAATTACAATAGAGAATGCCAATTCCAAATAAGACCCTACAGGTTCTGCTGATTCTCCCATCGAGTGGCAGGGCTCAAGTCATCATTAGGAGAGGATTTTATTTTAAAAGTGTCATCTTAAACAGCAAGGATGTCTGTTAACATCACAATTAAACATGCCAAAGGAGAAGCCATGTTGTCAAATGCCTGCTTAACTCACCCAAACATCTCAAACCCACCCTTTGCTGACCTTCTATACCCCATTTTTAAAAGTTTTTTTTTCTTTTATTAAACAAGAGAAAGTAGACAGGTACGTGTGGGTAAATGCTAACTGTCCATATTCACATAGAGACACAGTGCAATCTCTGAGCCCAATATACAGAGAAAGGAGGAAAAGAGCTAGACTTCTATGCACTACTACACAGGGGCCGAGCGCCCTCCAGCTTCCCGCAGAGCGAAGGGAGTGGAAGGGTTTTCTTTTTTCTCACAGAGCACGGTGGTGTCAATTCCATACAGTTTGTGTGAGACAGGAGGGGATCAAAATGAATTTAGGACAGAAGGTTGTAGAGACCCTTTTCCCATTGTGTTCTGCTCAAGGTATCTCCCCACAAAGTAAGTCGAGAACCACAGTGTTTGAGAAGACTTCAAGAACAGGGCGACTGAGCACAAGAGGGGGAAAAAGGACTGCAACTTGCTCCCAGGGACTGGAGAAAATTAAAAAAAAAAAAGTGGAAAAAAAGAGGTGGGGGAAGAAGGTTGGAATCCATCAGTGTTCGATTAGTCATCTTCTCCTTCATCCTCCTCTCCTTCCCCTTCATCATCATCTTCATCTTCTTCACCTTCATCCTCATCCCCTTCTTCATCAATGTCTTCCAATCCTCCTCCTCCTCCTCCTCCTCCTTCTTCTTCTTCATCATCATCTTCTTCACCTTCATCCTCATCCCCTTCTTCATCAATGTCTTCCAATCCTCCTCCTCCTCCTCCTCCTCCTTCTTCTTCTTCTTCATCATCTTCATCATCATCATCATCTTCTTCTCCTTCCCCTTCCTCGTCATCCATATCAGGAACCAAGTAGTACTGCAAGGGATTTGGCCAAATATCATCTTTGATGACCTCTCCTAACTCATCTGCACCTGCATCAGAATGGTCAGTAAACCAGGTAAAGAAGCTCTCGGGTTCTTCATGCTGCCGCTTCCTACTGGCTTTATTCTGTGTTTGACTTGAACGTTTCGTCAAATCCTTTCCAGATTTCCATTTGATTTCAGTGGACTTTGAAGATGGATCACCACTGTCATTCAGATGAAATTCTTTGGAGAGAACTTTATTTTAGAAGGAAGGATTTTCATCAAACTAAAAATCTATTCTGTAACCTGATTTTGTATCTTCAAATTCTGTCATTTCGACTCTGGTCAAATAATGCACTGCCTCTTCGTCTTCCTCCCCAAGCAGTGCAGACACTTGTGGATGGTTAACAAATGTTGTTACCCAAAAACTGGGGATTTGGGCGATCAATTCTGACCTCTTCTGAAAAAATGGTTGGCGGAGTTTGTTATATTTCTGTTCTACTTTCAATATCTCCTCACTGGCTTGTTCATTAAGTCTGTCTATTTCATTTTGTACTTCATCAATATGTTCAATTGCTTCTTGTTCTTCTTCTGAGGTCTCGTCGGCCCCGTCGTGGTTGGAATTGAGCTCTTTTTTACTGACTTTGGCCGCCGGCGCCGACACGGTGCTGCTCCGCGGTCGTGGGAGCGGGGACGGGGAGAGAAGGGAAGGCGAAGGGGGCGGGCGGCTTCCCTCACGCCACACCCGCGGGCGCCCGCTCGGTCCGGCCGCCTCCTCCCGGAGCGGCTCGCTCTGCCCTCGCGGCCTGACGACCAGGGAGGGGCGAGGGGGCGGCGTGCCGGGCCTGCCGGGGCTCCTGCTAGCGGAGGGGAGGCGGCGGCGGCGGCGGCGGGCGAGCGGTTCAGCTCCCTCACCTCCGCGCTCGGCTCGCTGCTCGCTTTCCCCGAGCCTAGCCGCCTCCTCCTCCTCCGCCTCCTCCTCCTCCTCCTGGCGAGGGGCGAGCCACACTAAAGGATTTCTTAAAAGCTCCCTCTCAAGCCACATCTACAAGACGTTTTTTCAAAAATTATTCAAATTACAGCTCAATAATTCTGCTTGATTAACTGGAGTGTGCTTGTTTGGATCCCATCTGGACAGCTGTAACTTCCTAGTCCTCACTTTGGCCGGACTCACCTCCTGCTGCCCCCTCAACCCACCCCCGCTGGTCCCACACGCCTGTGCCTCCGCTCTGCCTCCTGCAGCAAGTGGGCACATCTTCTTCCTCCATCCCCTGCTCTGCACAGGAGACAGGAGCTACATGTTTGGAGAACAGGTTGCCAGCCACCCTGCTCCCCAGGGGGGCAGACGACGATGTGGCAGGCATGTTTGTCCCATAGGAAAAGCCCACAGGGAGGCTTTTGCGTTTGATGAGTGTGTACAAGGAGAGGGGTGCATGTACCTATCTTAAAAGTCAGTTTTTAGATACAGGATCCTCATTCAGACCCCCAAGCAGCTTATGAAGGTACACAGATGCTGGTTGGAGAACAGCCCCTGGGGCGTGGTGTCCAGTGCCAGCAGTGGGGTCCCAGTGTTCTGTGATGTCCTCTCGGTGGATAAGAACATCCCTGAAAAGAATATCATGGTTTGCAAATGACTCTTTCTTAAAGTTCCCAAACCGCAGTGAGTACATCATAGTAGTTTCTTTGGATTGCTGTGAGGTCATAGTCCATTCTTGTCATGAATGTATGATGCTACGTGAATTTTTGTGAAGTATCAGCTCCCCTGCCCAGAAGGCCAGTTTGGGTGCATGGGCATCTTTTGCACACCTGAAGCTGGTTGAGAATTGGGGTGCTGAAGGCTGAGGTAGGTGCTCTCTGGCTTCACTGTCTTCTGCAATGAGGATAATTCAGTGAACATGAGCTAAAGAACCAGGCTCATCTCTGGAATACAGCCCCAGGCAGATTATGCCATTTTGCTGGGCCATAACTATTGTTAGTGGGCAGAGTCCTATCACGGTTAAATGCTCTCTGTGCCCATGGCTGCAGGGCCCTGGTCCCCTTCAAGGTTCTGTGAGGAAGGGTCCTCACCAGGCACAGGTGGAGCGGCCTGTGCTCTTTTTGCACGCACCCCCTTGTCTGTTTCAACTGCTCAGAGCCACATCCCACCTGCTGTTGGGTATTTCCAGTACTATTCCTGAGTGTTCTGAAGAATACGGATGATGGAATGAGCAGGAAGCTGCTCAATGGAAAATCCAGGTTGGCAAATTGGCACTTGCTGTTCCCATCACTGTCCCTACAACTGTGCATTGGGAGCAGAGGAAAAGTGCTGGTGTCAGCACCTGGAAATCCAGATCTTGACCCCAGAGCCCAACTGGGGGTAGGGGCAGCACCATGACAGGCACTTTGGAGATCGGAAGGTAGGATTGCCATGAGAGCTGGGGAGCCACCAAATGCCTTGGTGGGCAGGTCCTGGCCTGCGGCCTCTCTCAGCTCCTCACCCTGCTGACCTGCCCCTAGGAATACTGTCCTTGTCCACACCTTTGAAAACAGCATCCTTGCCACCCCCTCCTCCCCTGTCCAGCCTCAGTGAACTGTGGCTATGTCTGGGGACTCTGACTAGCAGAATGCCATTTGGAACTTTACTCAGAGCTGCTCAGTACTTGGGAAATCAGAGGGATGTGAGTTGTGCCCTCCTTCTGGTGGCGGTAACTGCTTTCACACCCGATGCAGGTAGGGCACCTGTTAGTCTGTTCTCTAGCATGACTGCATCACATGTGCACACAGGAAAACACATGCCCTTTTACTACACACAGCTTCTATTTATTCCTCCTTTTTGTTGTAGTTAGAGAGCTATATCAACTTTTGAAAAATTATGTTTATACCTGGTATGAGGTATGATGGAAACATATAGTGAATGTTTAAATTTTAAAAATTTATTACAGTAAAAGACACATTGCTGGTTCCACCTCTCCCAGCCCAGTGGAAGGGGCTTCCGGGCCACTGTTCCACTGCTCCCAGCCCAGAGGAGGTGAGCCCGCATGGGCACCAACCGCACACCCCCTCACCCCATCGAAATGAGAAGATACGTAAATAAGTCTCAAAACCAGACTTCCAGATCACCTACAGCAACCCCAAAGGGAAATGTGATGGAACACTCTGATACTCAACCACCTGGACTCCCTGAACTGGCAATAAAAGAGGATCTGGGAAAAATGAAGTCAGAAATAATTTCTCTGATAACAGTAGAGATTGTGCCCATAGTACAAGACATGATTAATAAATCTAGAGAGGACACAGATTAAAAAAATAGAGGATCTGAGGAACAGGATGGAATCCCAACTAGGAAACAAATGGAATCCATAAAACAGATGCAAACAGATTTCCAGGAGATTAAAAACTCCACTGAAAGTCTACACAGCAGAACGAGCCAATGTGAGGACAGAATTTCAGATATAGAAGATAAAATTGCAATTAGTGACCAGGAA